TAGGCGCCCATCGCTCCCATCAGATCAAACAATAGGGCGATAATAGCGGCCGCGTATATGAATGTCTTCGCCGACGACTTTCAGCGCAATTAAAGTCATTATTTTTTAATTCAATGTTTTTAATAATAAAGTTAATAAACTTTTGAATTTGTTTTTCAAATTCAGAGTTTTTGAGATATAAAATGTGTTTATTTGTTATAATAAGTGTTTTTCGCATTTATTGTTATTTTTATCACTTTTATTATCTCTACTGTTGAGTGAATCGTTATTAACTTTCATTTTATTTTTATTTTCTAAACTAAATATAAACTCGTATTAAAAGTGTATTAAAAATATCTTTCAATAACGGAATATTCTGTCATAAAAATTGAAAACAAACACAAAGAGTAAAAAACTCGACAATTGATTGAATAAATAAAAAACGCCTACAAATGGAAACTTTATGTAAATATTCTGATAACTGATTGACGCGTAAATTGTCAGAAAAAAACCATTTTTCAAATAAACAAAAAGCAAAATAATTAATGAAAACAACAATTAATACCTTAATTGAGTCAATATCGGTGTCGGTATAGGGATGACCGATCTGATAGTTTTCGTCCACATAAGTGTCCACCAGTGTTGTGGCCATTGAGGCCATTATTACGGTGGAAATCATGCCGAGAACGGCAAACACAATGAGTGTCCACTTTTTGCACCCAAATTTACCCCTCTGTCCGTCCATTTGGTGTTTGTCTGACTTTCCGTTTAAAATATAGATTTAATTATTGAAATTAATTGTGTGTTTGAATTGTTTTCCGCAGAGATAGTGTTTTTTCAATGAATTATTCTCTCAATAATCATCTCAATAGTGATTATCATTTTAGTTGCGATCAAATGATAAGACTTTTTACGAGTCATTGTTTTTGCTAATAATTATTATTAGTTATTATAATTACTCGTAAATTGAATTACTTGTAAATTAACACTCTATTGACAAATACGTGATCAATTGTCACTACATTAACCATAAGGGGGTATTTAAAGTGGGATAACGTTTATAGTGACAGAAATATTTCCAAATAATTGTTTAATTAATGCTTAAATCTAATCAAAAGTAGATTATTTTTTAAATATTTGTGTCTTAAGTAATTATTTGCTAAATTCTTGTACTTTAATGTTAAATCAGTAAACTTTTTAATAAATAGATGAAAATGTTAAATTGTTTGTATTTATAAATTGTCACAATAGATGTCGCGAACGGTATTATAACTAAATTTAATTGAATTCAATAAATCATAAAACACTGCAAAACACTGAATGGCATTTCATTGAGAAATTGCTAATTATAATAGTAATTATAATGATTGATAATAATTAGTAATCAAACAAACAAGGAATTTAATTGCTGAACAATCGATCATTAATTTACCACAAATTTTATTCAAATCAAGAATTTACAGCAAATAATGACAAGAATTTCATTAATGAATAACTTGAGCATAAATTCATTAAAATTTATAGTTTTATTTGCCTCTAATTCTGTCCAAACGTTGTTTGACGGCTTCAGAGCCTTTACCGTTGATTTCCCGATAAACAGTTCCCAACTCTTTGGCCAATGTCTCGCTATACCAGTGCTTCACGTTTGGGAAGTCTTTCAAATCGTCCTCTTCTACGGTCAGCAACTGAGTGGCGATCGAGAGGTCGGCAATTGTCAAGTGACCGGTGGCCGCGTAACCGCCGTTTTTGGCCACCTTCTCGTCCAACACCCGCAGGTTGTCGTTCAATGTCTTCAACTGTTGGTCAGTAGGAGTTCCGCCGCCAAAGAATTTCGTTGCCTTCAGTTTTAATGTCAAGAATTGATTAGAAATGAGCGAAAATCTAGTTTTCAAATGTGTTTAACTCGAATGGCTTTGAGTGCCGGCGCGAGAGTTCCCAAATCAAAGTCCAACACTTCGTCGACGAGCGCTCTAATGACCGGATTTCTCGGATAGAGAGGAGAGTCGGCCGCGTATTTGTTGCACAGATAGCGCACAATGGCTCGCGACTCACTGATGACCAGACCGTTGGACTCGTCCACCAAAACCGGCACTAAATGGCGGGGATTGAGCTGAAGACAGGGTTTAGACAGTGTTTGAGATTTGAATTCATGAATACTTTAAGAAATTCCGGTTTGAGTTGTTGTTTTGCGACCAAATCGATGACCACTTCCCGAAATTGAATGTCCAGTTGTTTGGTCACAAACACAACTGTCCGACAGAAAGGACTCGCGTAATTCAAATGCAATGTTAACGACATTTCTCTCTTTTAATGGTTTCAGGAATTGTTAAAAACAAATTCAAAGAACTAAAAGACAATTAAACCTAGTTTATAAAAAAGTAAATTATATTTATAATTTAGATTTAGTTAAATAATTAATATAATAATGCAATGTTTGTGCAATAGTTATTTAATGTTTGAAAAAGTTATTTACATTAAAAGTTAACATTAAATGTTATAATATTTATATTTATCTGTAATTTGCAGCAAATCTGTTGTAAATATCTATAAATGTTATGAATGTTATATAAGTGTTGTTTCTTATCATTTAATGCACTATTCAATGACATAATTGTCGATATTTTTATTAAAATAATTATTCACTTCTCAATCATAAAAGTGAATAAATATTTTTAAATCTAAATCCTGAGAACGGTTTCTAATTCCTTCAAGAGTTTTTACTTTTGCAGAGAATTGTATTTTCAAACACTTGAATCTTGAATGAATTCAAAGTCAGATTTGAGATTACAATCAATAAATCAATATTCAAAACAAATATAAACTTTTGACACAAAACAGACTGAAAAAGAGCACAAAATGAAACTTTATTCCCATTTGAACACAAAATACACGTTAAGCCGGAGTTTTATGCATTTCTATGATTTTCTTCAATCCTTCGATCGCTTCGCTCTTGAAGTCGTTGTAAAACGAAATCTCTTTCTCCAATCGCGAGAACCATTGTTTCACATTTGGATAATCCTTGAGATCATAATCCAAATAGAAAATGGCCGCCGAATTGGCCAACAATGACAGGTCGGCGATTGTCAAGTGATTGGCCGCAACGAAACCGCCGTTCGCCGCCACCAACGCGTCGAATACGGCCAACGAATCGGTCAACGCTTTGGTCTGCTCTTCAGTCGGTTCCACTCCTCGAAACGCTTTCATCGTCTGTTTGATAACACAAATATTCAATCAAAACTAGCGCTGCTTTCGGCGATACTCACGAGTGAATTGCGAAGCGCCGGACCCCAAGAGCTGAGATCCCAATTGAGAACTGTGTCCACTCGAGCCCTGCGCTCGGGCTCTCGCGGATAGAGCTGCGAATCGGGCGCGTATTTGTTGCACAGGTATTGAGCGATGGCTCGAGACTCCCAAACAGACACTCCGTTGTCGACGAGAGTGGGAATCGAGTGCCGAGGATTGAGCTGAAGAACGGATCAAATGAGCAAATGTTTGGATAATTAAATAGAGATTTACTTTAAGAAAGTCTGGTTTGAGGTGCGCTTTGTTTCTCATGTCGAGTTCCACTTCTTCGAGCTCTACGTTCAGAAGTTTGGCCACAAAGAGGACAGTACGACACGGAGGACTTCTTCGGCTCAAATACAGTGTGGGCGCCATGTTTTGCAATAATTGAATTGAGATTACAATTAATTAAATTCGAGAAACACCTGGTTTTGAATGAAATATTTTTACACAAGTTTTACTCAATTTATACTTTATTTCTGAGAATTTGTTATCAAAAAAGATAACATTATTTGACATAAATATCTGAAATGTTGAATCATTTCAAAAACAATTTATTGTCTATTATTAATAGAATTGAGATTAAAATATAAAGTTTTTAATGAAAAGTACAAAAAATCGATTTCATTATTAAAAGAGTGCATTAAGTATTCTGAGAACAAATACTGAATTAATAATCAGTGATTAATTTCTTAATTAACCGCTATTTATATAAATATGTGACAACACTATTAAAATATATTGAATTTTAACTAAAATACAAAAACTAAAACCAGATTTTCATTTCCGAAATTCTTCTCCAAATTCAATGTTTGTTGTCTTTTATGACAACAATTTTGTCGATTGTCTTTCCTTTCTATTAACAAACAACAGTATAAATAGACGACAACCCCTTTACCACCCGTTCCCCAAATACCTGGTCGTCGGACACCTGTTCCATAGAGATGTGTGTCTTGTTATGGATTGTCATTCTTGTGAAGCCGTAATCAGACGACCGAAAGGCA